AATTTCCTAAAAACGAGGATTTTTAAATGACGTTAGCCAATTAAAAACCGTACGAGCGGTCGAAAATTAAAATTTTTTGTAAGGGAATGTGTAAAACGATGTCAAATACATTCATAAATGAGGAATAATAAACTTGTCAAATAAAAAATTTGCTATGGTGCCGTAAGTAACATTTTCTCGGCTTAGACGAATTCAGACCAGTGGAAAAATTGTTAGAGAAAAGCGGCCACGAAATTCGCCAAAATTGGAGGTCTGGCCTGAGGAAAGGGCTTTGGGTCTGAAACACGGGTCTGAAACTCGGGTCTGAAACACGGGTCTGAAACACGGGTCTGAAGCACGGGTCTGAAACACGGGTTTGAGACACGGGTCTGAAGCACGGGTCTGAAGCACGGGTCTGAAACGCGGGTCTGAAGCACGGGTTTGAAACACGGGTCTGCAGGACAATACGTCAGGAAAAAGAACCAACATCCCGTCCCCCTGAAGGCCTCAGTAACCCTCCTTAATTTAATTAACTAATGAACGAAACTAAAGTGGTTCAATACCGTCTCCTTGTTTGGTAAAATGAAGCTAAAATCACATATCCACCTAGAAAATTCGAGAATGAAATATCACGAAAATAAATCACTATAAAGATTCAACTTGTAAATTTCTTTCTACTTTTTTGAAAAACTTTTCTTTTTGGTGAATAAAAATAACCTATTGCCATCTAAATCGTAAGTTATTTAGGATAAACCTTTTAGTTTTTACAGTTCATTACGAAAACAATCATACAAGCGGTTATACTGTTTATTGTAAAATGTCTCTCAAAATCCATATATTTTTATTACGCGTGGAGTATTATGGAAAAAAGTAAGCTAATACTCCTTTAAAATCATTTATCGATATTCCTCATTACATCAAACACTTCCAATACAACGCTAGTGGAAAATAGTTACACCTGACATGGCACGGTTGTCGTAAACCTATGAAATTTCACTCTAAAGAAACAAGATATTTGGAACTTGTTAACAAAATAAGTTGAAATAATATTAATGGTTTTAACATTCTTACATATACGACGATACGCACGAATTAATTTTCCGATACAGTAGTATAGGATAGCTCGAGTTGGAATTACAGCAGCATCAATTTGAAGATTTCTGATCAACCTCATCACGTCGATAATTTATTTTTGTTAAAGAGACATTTTCTCAAAGCCTTTACATAAATAGTTTGATAATCGACCAGCCAGTAATATTCAAATTTAGGAGCATAAATTTTGAAGAGCTTCGTTACAGGAGATTATTCACCAGGACATCATGCAACCATCAATAGCCCTTTCTTCGGTAGCTTGGATCAGTTCTGATCTCTTCCAGTTGTTGAGCGCCCTTCTACATGAGCATTGGCTACGCCTATCTCACGGCTTGCTAACTATTGGCTCCACCAAATGATTGCTTCATATCGTTGTATGTGCGTTCCATTTGCATCGACCATTCTTGAGGGCTTTGGTAACCTTGGATAGGACTCCTGGCGCCGGCATTATGACTTGGCCTTCCATAATGATCCAAAGAAGTTTCAGCATTCTGATCGTTTTGACTTTTCACGTAAGTGTTAATGTCAGTCATCAAATCTATAGCAGATCTAATCTCGAGCCCAGGAGGTGTCGCTTCTAAGTGACTGCAGAGCTGGAGAAGAATGTTCTCAAGCGACGATATCCACTGGCTCTGTTCCAACGGATCTCCATGATGATCCTACCCTCCGGGGCGAGTCGGATTCTGATTCCGATTTAGGTGGTCATTAGCTTACTAACGTTGTTATTTCTCAAGCTATTTTTACTCTTCTTCGATCATTTTTCGAATTTCGGCTTGTTCTAATGCTCGACGTGCAGCGTCGACAGCCAATCTCAAAGATCTATTGATTGCTGCATCGACATTTTTCAGCGTACTGTTGAACAACTTTAGTGAAATCATCTCGGGGTGACGGAACATAGCTTGCAGTGTTGCGTCCGAACAGTTTTGCAAGTATTCCAATCCGAGGCTGAACTGCGCCTCAGTTTCAGGATCCATGGGCGGCTGCGGATGATAATAGGCAGTTGGTGCGGACAGCTGCTAAGATTCCAAATTCTGTTGAGGTTACTTGGGAGCCCGAGTTTCGTTCGCACTGAAGCGCATGGCAGATCCCGATGTCGTCTAGCGCCTCGACCGGCCGCTGCTGTTCTTGTAGGCCTTCTGAGATGACTGCACGTCTTGCATTGGAGGCAACATTTTTCAGCTTCGTAATTCGCTAGTAAAATATCACTTGTCAATTTTGATTCAAGTCAGCGCTGGTATAGTAGAGCAACGAAATTAAGTTCCGAAATTCGAGCGTTTTATTCCTTTCATTGTCATTAAAATTGTTCGCGAAAGTCGCGACAGATAACCATGCAGCTGGTAGCATGGCTACGCTCATTTCAGTTCTACGCTCAATTCTTACGAAAATTTCGAGATTTCGGATAAACAATTGGAAGATTTTAAAATCCAAATCAATCATGAAATGTGAAAAAATGTTTGACGAAGCAAATATTTTCTTCAATCTGTTTAGATTACTGATCACAAGATAAATAAAAATCGGTAAGTTCAAACAAGAATTGAGCGGCACTTTGACTGAAAATTTTTGAACCTTCGTATTCTGAAGTAGTAAAGAACATCGCGATGGGTAAGCTCGTGAGCGAAAATGTCAAGCTCTTTGACTATTCACTCGCCATCTGAGTTTTTCTTTGAAACAGAATAGAAGCAGCGCATAATTTTCATAGAGCCGGTGAGAAAGTCGTAAAACACGGCATGAAAGAACGATGGTTATTATGGATTGGGCTCGCGATGGATGGTGCACATCCATGCAGCATCCTTTCTGAGCCTTTACCGAACACTATAGCGGTCCAGGACGGCTTTCATGCTAGGATTGCTTCATGTTCGATAAATCCTACTGGAAGCCTTCATAAAACTTGCCCCACTGAATGCTCCGAATCAAATGGCTTTCCTTAAGCACCCATTAAGCCTTTTGCATGTGCCTGAAGCAAACAAAATATAGAGTAATCAAATTTCAGATGAGACTTTTCTAAAATAGTTTCCAATTCAATTTTGATGACGACAATTGAATTTTAAAATATAATTCTTGTATTTTCTATGGCATTAAGTGTTCATCAGTGCGGTAACTCCTTGATTCGAAACGCGGCAGTAGTACCGTAAGTCCGGAATAACAGCTGACCAGCAAGTTTTTACATTAAATAAAAATAATAATTAAACTTAAACAAAATTATCAATTTCAGTAAGAATTATAATAGTTCCAATTTCCTGATCTAATAATCCGATTCATCTAGGCAAAGGAGCAGAAGTGCCTGCTTTGAATAACCTATGAATATAACCTTTGAATAACCTATAGCGAATGAGTTCACGAGGTCAAAAGTTGGTCCTAACGTCCACTGACGCGCATCATTGGAAGTAGTACTACAATATTACATAATTCAGCATCAATTAATTTATTCTGGTTATGTTCTGGTCTCAGGAAATGATGTATCAAAGCAAATAAAGCAATCGCCGCATTTACCGATTGTAGTGACCGTGATATGAACATGAGTATACATTAGATCACTTCACATCGCCATTTATGTGATGAAACTTGTGATAAACAACATCAATGATTTTAACGATAATGATTATCAATGATTCAACAGAGAAATATTATGAAAAATTCAGTTCTGAAAAACACTCGAAGTGTCGTCCTGAGTATTTACGAACTTGTAACGTCCGAGAAAATTCTAAATGAAGATACGGGAACGTAACACCTCAGAATTTCCGACATTCTATGCATAATTTACGTTATCGAAGCGAAAAGTTCATCAGTAATAATCGGAACTTTTATTACTAGAACGCGCGGAACTGATCTCACAAACACACTGGTGAGCTTTTTCCTTGAAAATGCAATCCTTAAGAATAACACACGGGCAGTGATTTAACAGTGAAACACACTCAAGAGAAAAAATAAATTTGAAAAAAGCCGTTTTTGGAAGTTAAAACAGCCATAAACAGGGAAAAAACTAGCTTTGGGAATTCATAATGGAAAATGGACAAATTTATACGGATTAAATTAATAAAATATTACTAAATGTACATCATATAAAATAATCACATTTATCCTTACAAAATATCGAAATGATAAAGAAGCGGTTGATGGATCAAAAGATTTAACACCAGAATTCAATTCTAAAATTTTTAAACATTTTTTCAATATTTTAAAAAAGTACATTTAGTTATACTGAAGAAAATAAGTTAAAATGCAATAAATTCACTAGTTTAAGAAGATTTTGAATTTAATAGGGATCGTCAATAAATATCCAACTATTTAATTCTAACTTCGAAGAAAAAATCGTCACCTTCTCAGTTGTCTTGGAATGAACACAACAATTTAATATGGCAACAACTCAACAGATCAAAGTGATATTAATTGTTTCATGTGACAAAACACGAATATATGAGTGAATTTTAGTCTCATTGAAATCATAAGCAGAGCTATCGTTTAAAATTAAGTTAAGATAATAACTACCAAGCAACTTCTGCATTATTGTAACCAGCAGAAACGGGTAAATATGAAGAACGCGGAACGCTTACGACGAGTTATTAAATTAGTAATCACGAACCACTTTAATCCGAAGCGCTTAGCCATGGAAAGAAAAACCTGGGTAGAGAATATCTCCCTTTGACCCCACAACTGCATCAATAGCCGCAGGAACAAACAGTTTAGAATCGTTACAGATTAGTTCAAAATTGTGTTTTTAAATTTGTCACCTGTCGACACTAAGTTACTCACGCAGCTTAAATTCGAAACTCACGAGTGACGCGATGATGAAAATTGAAACGTGGTTGCAAACGAGAACCAGGTTTCAGATGCGTGTCACAAATTTTTGTGGGTCTTTTGGAATATTTTCTCTGACCAGGTCAATACAAGCAAAACACAAATATAATGAAAAATATTTATGCAACACGCACCTGTCTAGCTAGGAGGCCCTCATCCGACAAGTGAGGGTACGAAGGGTACATGAGGGCATCAAACTTTCCTTGGTCTTCTCTTCGTACAACTTCCCGCAGTTCCGTCAGCAAGCCGCGCTGAAAATAAGACACTGAAATCAGCGTACGATCATCACCATAAGAAGCACACTGCAGTTGGTGTTAGAAAGGGTCATAGGCACATTCGCATTAACAATAATCAGAAAAAAATCGACATTTAGCATCGATTTTTGACCAAAAGAATTATGTGAAGAATGAGTACTGCGCTGCTAATAGAACATTATTGCACAAGCTTAATTCATTATTGCTGTAATATCTATAATTTATTTCATTGTTTCTGGTCATATTTAGTGAGCACAACTCGGAAAACGTAAGAAAAGTTGAGTTAGTCAACACGATGTATAATTTGGAAGTTAAGAACTAATTTTTGTACAGGTTTTTCCAGCAGCATGATAAAGCAAATACAACAGACATTTTAGCCCCACTTAATTGCATGTTCGCTGGGCCATCTACACAACCATGGAACACCGCGAAAAACAAAAACCGCCACACAAGACTTGCTTTATCGCCAGCAATTTGGGGAATTGCGCCCTGCATCTTGCTCATGTATAAAAAATTTATCTTCCAGCAGCAAGATTCTATAGTTTATTCCCTGAATCTTTATGAATTAGACCTTTGATTTCTCACTTCCTCGCAGATTATGAGATAGAATAGCTGCTTTTTTGTTACTGGTGCTGCACCACATGTAATCTACGTTAAGTTTCCACAATTCGTAGCCCAGCCACATCTTCAGCGTGAATATCAAACACTGTACGTCTTTACACGTATTGACGATAATTACGCTCAACAAATGCAGTTAGCATTTACACTAAAGTGAAGCAATTCCATGTCAGCCATGAGTGGCTGACCTGAGTTCCAGGTCAGCCATAAGTAGCAGTGGTGATGAGGTCATATGGAGAAGCTCATTGAAGTTCGGTCGTTGCTCCAGCCATTACAACGCAGCAACTCGGATCTGAAGAGCAATTATCTATCCTCACAACTTGACGGAAATCCAAAGTCGACATTAACCGAAAATTGCCTATGTCTCAAAAATTTCGATGTGAATTTTTAGACTAACGAACTTCATCAGAGCAAAATGAAGCGGTGAAAGCTTCGGTAACGCAAAGACGATAAGGCCTTTTAGAAATGGAAAACCGTTATTGAGCTCCACCAGCAGATTAACTGTCATTAGTAGTGTAAAATGTGTAGTAGTGAAAACCAAGCCTATGAAATTTTGATTGTTCTTATGAGGCTTGATTTCGTAACGGGGAATCAATCACTTTAAAGGTAATTAAATAGAAATGCTCGTATAGAGCCCACCTGCTATAATACCTACCGAATTTGGTACAGTTATCAGCCGACGGTGGATCATCCAATATACATTAGCATTCCAGAAACAGCTTATTAATGGATCAAATTAAGAGCATCAAATCCTTAAACAAGCACTAAATGACACCCAAGCGGTTTCCAGTCCCATTTTTTCAAATTTTGATGCGAAATTTGCAAGATAATTCGGAAAATCACAAATACAATCAATGCAAGCTGATAAACTGACCATATTTTTTTACAATTTGTCTTTCTCTTTGCCTACAATTTTTTTGCAAATTTCTATGTCCGTCTGCAAAAGGGTATTAACTACGTTAATAAAACTTAGCAAGTGGTAACACGGTGAATCACAGCCCTACGAAGAGTCTTAAATAAATGATAACAGAATCAGTAGACAGATCGTCGACAATGCAAAGGTCTGGGCGAGCGACACCAACTCTTAATGACCTGCAGTTTCGTCTCGCAACTTCACACGACCATAACAATGAGAATTGTGCTGTTTCAAAGCCCATCAAGATAATGGGACTTCATGCAGCTAGCTTCGTTACCGTGATAAGACTTTTCATTCGAGTTTCCATGCGAGTTTCGAGTTAAAACTCTTTGGAGTTCAACAAAGTTCGTGAACGAAATATAGTCCGAAGTACGGTCTTCTGATACGAATGCTTTGTGGCTGCGTTACGGGCATGCAGAGAATTTTTGTGAAATCGTAAAAAAAATCATTAATTAGTACAAATAATATAGGATGAAATTCATAACTCACAATTTATGAAAGCTTTATAAATTTAATGAAGTATTAGTAATATCGTACAATTTATGAAAACTTTATAAAGTTAATAAATTGATTTACTCCATTGTAAATTTGTCAAGTATGCGTCTTTGCAGTCTGGCGCAGTGAACATATAGCTGCTGTGTGGGCGCTTATCCACGATACCTGTAGAGGCTGAATATTATAAGCGAAACTGAGAGGAAAGAATTGGACCAAAAATTTTAATTTAATTTTCAAATTTATTACAGAAATCTAATTTGGAAGACGCAAACCGGTATTTCCACATTTTGATACGAGAATACAATGAGAGACTCCCATTAAACTCTACATCTCCTAAAATGTTCAATTGAACGGGTCTCTCATCAATTAGCATGCATTAGCTTTGTTATATTTAACGGGATTCCGATGACGGCATTCGAGATAACGGGATTAAAGAACTGCAAGGAATATTGATCCCTGGCAAAGTATATGTATAATTAAATAATGGAAAAACTAGATTACTTACCTACTTAATAATGAATAAACTTAAACTTGATAAATCAAAACTACAAGCCCAAATCATTATCGTAAGACATTCGCAAAATTTGATCTGGAAACTTTCAGAAATAAGCTTAACCCTTTAATTTTAAGGGGAAGAGCTCTATTGCTTGCCTAATGGCAAGCAAGAGGTGATAATTAATAGGGAATAATAGCAAGAGGGCGCATATATAACTACTGATTATTATTGGTTGGCTCAAAAAATGAGACCTCGTCTTATAATGAAGGAGCGTGACATCGAAATTCAGTGTAGGACAAAATATCTCATTCACTAACACATTTCTATCATGAATTTAACGGACGGGAAAATGAAAAAAATACCTTAATGCATTCGAGCACAAAAGCGTTTACCAAACTGAAATCAGATATCATTATTTTTTTAATACTTTACTTATTACTATGCGTGAGGAATAACTAGGCGTTACTATAAAAATATCAATAATTTGCTCTCTGAAATATAATTTACAAGAGAAAAAATTTCAGATCGCCACTGTGGTTGAAGCTAGAAACTCGTTTAAAAAGCAGCAGATATTTGAGTGATGTTCAAATGGACAGATATTCTCTGTGACAGCAATCATTTATACGAAGATAACAACCGGTCTCTGAAAATGATCGAAGTATCAATAAATCGACAGTAAAAGTAGCAACTTATTCTAGCGATAGCGAAAATTATATCCATCACGTGAATCAAATATTAAGTAATAATGTAAATAATCCATAATACGGAACATAGGTGTACCGAAAAGTAACATGAGCAAATGCGCAAGGGCAAAAGAGCTCAAATGAGGTAAATAATAAGGAAAAATAGTGATGCATGAGTAACGATGCACGAGTTTGAGACACAAGAAGAGAAGTATGAATTTGAGACTTAATTAACAAGGCCTGCCGATGGGACGTAGGCAACTGGGCTTGCGTTTGAGAGAGACCCTGCCTGAGAGACGAGGAATCAATAAATACCAATTAATAAGAAACAATCAATGAGTAACAAGATGCTAGTAACAAGGCATGAGTAAAGATGTACAAGTAACAACGCATGAGTAAAGATGAGCGAGTAACGATACACGAGTAAGAACGCATGAAAAATGCGGCATAAGTAAAGATGCGTGAGATTGAAACATGAGTAAAGAACTACGATTAACAAGACACGAGTTTAAAGCATGAATAATGAAGCATGAGTTTGAGACATGAGACACGAAGCAGGCTCTGCAGACCAGTAACAAAGCGTAAGTTTGAGATATGAGAAACGAGGCTTCGCTCGATACATGACTAACGTGACAGGAGTTAACGAGGAATGCGTTTAATATATGAATAACGTGGTATAAGTTTGAGTGAGAGCTAACGATGCATGCGTTCGAATCATGAGTAACGAGACATGAATACCGTACATGAGTACAGAGTCATAGGTATAATGGACACAGGCTAACCACAAAACCAATATTCTCCAGGATCAGGAGCGCACAATGAAGCAGCGCTCCCGTGTCCTCCACCATCCAATATCTGCAAGCTGTCCCGCCTCGAGACATAACGGGTCATGGAACATATTTTCCCTGCGCAAATAAGCGCATGTCTCTACAACAGTCTTCTTGACTTGAGCATAAATAAACTTCAAGACGATACTCGAATATTTCATTCAATTTTCCAAATTCTACTTGACCTTGAATACACTGATATTCTTGGATATAGTTTTATTCTCAGATATTTCCATTTAAAATCAATATACATACTTATGAAAGGATTCGTTTTTCGCTAATAAGAAACAAGCAATCCGTCTTTCATAAGGCATGATATTCACGAAATAATTAATAAAATCAACATCTGACAAACTGGGGAAAACTAACTCAAATTATGTCAAATAAGAGAACCTGGCGAGTATTCGATTTCATTCTGAAAGTTCAGAGTTAATTAGTGTATATTAAAAACCTTGCTCGAAATTAATTATTTTTTCGAGCCACCGAATCGGGATTAGAGAATTCCTTGTTATTTTGTGGAACATACATGCAAATTTCATGCCATGTCAAATTCAGGAGATCAAACCAGTAAATAAAAGCCATTTCCTATGTATATGAAGTCCTTTGAAGGTTCAAATCAAAACAAACGAGCAGTCTCATCGCCAGGCCTCGCTTTCATCCTCTTGACAGCCCAGCCACATCAGATGAAAACAGCAGTTGTACAGCAATAAACTAACTGTGCCTAGGGGCTGGGCGGAAAAATCTAATGGATATTAGACTAGGGCTGTAAAAGTCTGCCCGAATGAAAAAAGCTACAAGAGCAAGCCTCGAACGATTAAACGATGGGAACAACATTCTGCTACAGAGGTGCATGAGTGCATGAAAACGAAAAAATAACTGGATGATTGAACTGAATGAATAAAATTTGTCAATAGATAAAAAATATTTTTCATCTCAAAATATTTATTATATCTTTGAATTTTCTCCCAAAATTTATTCGCATAATATAGGTATTATTGCATTACAAAAAGCTAACTTTAACTAAGCAAAAGTTGTACGTTAAGCTGCTTTGAAGCTGCTCGATTTGAAAGTTTCTGCCTTAAAATTAAGTTTATGACATTTAATATGTTATGACCGTTCTGTCATCTATAAATAAAAAGCATTATTTTTTGGTAGCAGCGAGAAGATATTGACCAATTCACAGCATTCGCAATAACGAAGAAAATACTTCGTCTGGTAATTTTTTACAACACTTCTCTTTAACTTCACTTCTTGTCTGTCTGTCTGTCTGTCTGTCTGCTACAAATCTTGTAATCGAAATTTAACACACTTCTACTTATCCTATCGATCTGAAATTTTGCATACTTGTTTAAAGTTGGAGACAATGCATGAATCAAATGTCAAAATAAATGATTTTAAAAAGTTAAAAAAAAAATTTTTTTTCAATATTAAAAAAATTGAAAAAAATAATTTTGTCAGCTACAAATCTTTTCGACACACTTTTACCTGTCTAGGTTATCTGAAATTTTGCACACTTGTGTGAAGTCAGAGGCAATGCATGAATCAATTAATAGAATAAATAATTTTGAAAAAATTTATATATTAAAAAATATTTTCTATTAAAAATTGAAAAATTAATTTTTTTAACATTCGAAAATTAAATGAGGAATTCAAGGTACATCTTTAAGATTGGAGACACTGGATTCTTTGGAAGTGTTGTCTTTAAAAAGTAATTTTTAAACGTATATTATTTACTTTTTTGACGGAATTTCAAGTCACAATATATGCAGTCGGTATGAACATAGTCTCTGTGTAGCCAACACCAGCATAATCTATGATAGGAAGGGATGAATACAATTTCTGTGCAACTGAAATAAAAACAATCTGTGTATAGTATACGTGAGCAGTCTCTGCACAGCCGACGTGAGCCCTGTCTCTTAGAACAGTTTAGTACAGTCACAAAATTCATTGCAGATTACCACGAGCTCGGTTTCTCTGAATAACCGAAAAATCCACAAATTTCATGCCATCGCTATCGTCTTTACCAGTAACTCCAGAATTGTCGATAAAGCTCATCGCGTTCATTAATTCCGCGTGGAACGCAGGCATCAGGAAAAAGTTCGTTTATGACCAGGGAAAAGAACGCTCCCCGTACCGCCCCGAGGGAGTATTCAAAATTCCTGATCAAAAAGAGGTGGTTGGCTAACATGAGATTGGATGGGGACTGCCGTGCATCGATATCATTAGAGTTTCTCCCAAGTTCATTCCAAGACTTCTGATTGAAATTCTAATGAACATAACAACGCTGAAAACTGAAAAACTGCATAAACGTCATCATTCAAGCCTGCCAAGTTTAGTGACTAGGAAAAATAATTGAATAATAGCATATAACAAAATAACAGCATATAACAGTGAGATCGAGTCTTCCTCGTAATAAATAAACAAAGCTCAAATTAAATCTTATGACATAAGTATTAAAAACAAGTTGAAAATAAACTTGATGATACACTCTTGCCATGCAGTATCTCATGCTTTTCAAGCCTTCCATGTTGGTTTAAACCATTACAACTCACAGCCCTTGTTTGAGAAGCTGAAGTGTTCACGACGGTAACATTACTTCCATATTATGAGCCAAGCCCACTTCTATAAATGTTATTATATTATGTGTACTAATCGGAAATTTGAAGCTCCAATTATAAAGGAATAAACTAACATCGGGGTCGCGATGAAGTCCCATCATGCTTTGTTTGGAAATAATTATTTGTCCAACATGTCCTCACTTTAGCTTGGTGAGGCTAAATTCGTCATCATTTCCAAGCTTATATTCAAGACAATCAGTTGCAGAAGAACCTCTCATTATTATTCTGTGACGAACATTAAAATATGCGCGCGGCTATCTACAAATTTAAAATTCAAAAGCACAAAAATTCAACTACCTTGCCATGGTGTTTTTAATATGTTTTCATCAATTTTTAAATTTTGCTGCTCATTCCCTGCTGCATCCAACAAATCTATTCTCCGCTTAGCGAGTTAAGAACTCCAGGATGTAGCTGACCACATGTAGGCCAGCTATACATTTATAGCGAACGCAGTGTTGAACTTCGCTCGCAAATATTCTATAAGGTCTTCAGACTCCTGCCAAAAGTGGCGATCGACTCGACCTTTGTCTGGCTCACGGCCATCGTCTGGCTCACGGCCATCGTCTGGCTCACGGCCATCGTCTGGCTCACGGCCATCGTCTGGCACACGGCCTTCATCTGGCTCACGACCATCGTCTGGCTCACGGCCATCGTCTGGCTCACGACCATCGTCTGGCTCACGGCTATCGTCTGGCTCACGACCATCGTCAGGGGCTCACGGCCATCGTCAGGGGCTCACGGCCATCGTAAGGGGCTCACGGCCATCGTCTGGCTCACGGCCATCGTCTGGAGCTCACGGCCATCGTCTGGCTCACGATCTTCGTCTGGCTCACGGCCATCGTCTGGCTCACGGCCATCGTCTGGCTCACGGCCATCGTCTGGCTCACGGCCATCGTCTGAGGCTCACGGTCATCGTCTGGCTCACGGCCATCGTCTGGCTCAAGGCCACCGTCTGGCTCACGGCCATCGTCTGGGGCTCACGGCCATCGTCTGGGGATCACGGCCATCGTCTGGGGCTCACGGCCATCGTCTGGGGATCACGGCCATCGTCTGGAGCTCACGGCCATCGTCTGGGGCTCACGGCCATCGTCTGGGGCTCACGGCCATCGTCTGGGGCTCACGGCCATCGTCTGGGGCTCACGGCCATCGTCTGGCTCACGGCCATCGTCTGGCTCACGGCCATCGTTTGGGGCTCACGGCCATCGTCTGGGGCTCACGGCCATCGTCTGGGGCTCACGGCCATCGTCTGGGGCTCACGGCCATCGACGGCCATCGTCTGGCTTACGGCCATCGTCCGGCTCACGGCCATCGTCTGGCTCACGGCCATCGTCTGGCTCACGGCCATCGTCTGGCTTACGGCCTTCGTCTGGGGCTCACGGCCATCGTCTAGCTTACGGCCTTCGTCTGGCTTGCGGCCATCGTCAGGGGGCTCACGGCCATCGTCAGGGGCTCACGGCCATTGTCTGGCTCACGGCCATCGTCTGGCTTACGGCCTTCGTCTGGCTTACGGCCTTCGTCTGGGGCTCACGGCCATCGTCTGGCTTACGGCCTTCGTCTGGCTTACAGCCATCGTCAGGGGCTCACGGCCATCGTCTGGGGCTCACGGCCTTGTGTGCCGGCTACTCATTCATGATTCACATGAAACGTGATGACGATTTTTCAATCCAGACTCTCATTCTTGCAAAGTTTTAATATTGCAAAATCATTCACCTTACGAACAGGAAGCATGTTCAAATTTTACACGTCATGCTTCCTTAATCGCTTTTGCTTTGTTTCTCTGATGTCGTTCATGAGAGAAATTTCCATGTAATTTTTTTGTACATGTCTAGTCGCGCAAAAGAATTATTGAATATTGTCAATTCAAGAACAGACTATAAATCTTCGCAGTATCGATTTTAAACTAATTTGTTAATTCAAACGCTCGCCGTTGAATTAGAATATGTTGATATCGACTGCTTCTAATCTTTCGGAGCCAAATAATGCAGATAAGCATTTCATTCCATCTCTAAAACCAGAATGGACTCATTGTAAAGCGTGATTTCGACTGTTCTCATCTATGGGAGACATTTTCCCCTTCCGACCTTTTTACTGACCATCATATACTCTGAAACTAAACTTTTCACTGTAATTCTAGTTCAATGAAAAGTTGGGAACTACTAAAGTTTCTTCTAGTTCCCAACACACTATCGCTACTACTTGATCTGTCGGATTTGTGGTTTACAACTGAACCTTTTCATGAATCTCTGGAGCCACCTTTAACTCAATTATCGAAGGAACAGTCTGCAAATAATAATTTTTCTGATTTTTTACAGTCTAGATCCACCTTGGTCTCGGTGTCTAACATACTGCGGGTTGCATATGCAATTGATCCATCAAAGATTAACCTTCAACTATGTACTCCCTCCTCGGACTCAATGTCAAGCATACTGTCGAACACATTAACATGTGATGCAGCAGAAACTTAATCTTCAACTAAGTATATCTATCGACAATTATACTCCCTCCCAGGACTCAATGTCCAGCATACGAACACATTTACATGTTATGCAGCAGAGACATAATCTGCAACTAAGAATACATCTCATATACACCAGACTCACCTTGGACTCAATGTCAAGCGTACGAACACATTCACATGTGATGCAGCAGAGACATAATCTTCAACTAAGAATACATCCCATATACATCACACTCACCTTGGACTCAATGTCCAGCATACGAACACATTCACATGTGATGCAGCAGAGACATAATCTTCAACTAAGAATACATCTCATATACACCAGACTCACCTTGGACTCAGTATCGAGGAGCTGGAGGGCCACATCGAGCAGCCTGTCTATGGGGGTGCGGCCAGCAGCGTAGTCTGCCACGACTCTGAGCAGCGCGCGGTGAGGCAGCGGCGCCAACACGCGCTCGCTCTTCTCGTGGATCATCGCCAGCGTCGCCTCCATTGACTCCGCCGACACGCTGCGCCACAGACACAACAATATTAATGAATATTAACTAAAAAACTTGATGAATTCGAGCGTTATCAAATAATCCAATACGTAGAATGAGACGTGATATTGAGTTCCTTACAGACAAGGCAAAGAAATAAATAAACTAACTAACTAAACTAAATTTGTTCAAGGTTTTTGGTAGTTACAAAAATAGATAGATTTAAATGTTGTAAGCTAAAATATTCCATCAGTTGTAGATTCATGAAATCATGAACAAACTTTAGGCACATCAAGAAATATAAATTGTCGGCTCTCCAAGTAATTAAGTATTTTTTATCAATGGCTACTATTATCATAATGACATTGCTATTATCATAAGCAGCAGGTTCATAAAACCCTGGTGCAAAGATCTGGCACAGGGACATGAAGGCACAGACGAAGGCCTCCCAAGCCCAGGGTTTACGGGAACATCAATCATTTCAGTCCTGCAAAGGTCGGCGAAAGGCCGCCTCGACGCCGCATACGCACGCAGCGCCTTTAAAGCCTGGCCCTGCCAACGAAACCTTAAAGCTGCCGTCTCTGTCTGTGGCTGCTGCTGCTGAAGTGATGCTGCCGTCAACAATGATGCGGTGCTGCTACTGAAAAGATTCTGCCGGCAACAGGGATGCGGTGCTGCTGCTGAAGCAATGCTGCGGTCAACAATGATGCGGTGCTGCTGCTGAAACGATGCTGCCGGCAACAATGATACTGCGGCTGCTGCTGAAGCAATGCTGCCGGTAACAATGATGCTGCGACAGCTGCCGAATGTTGCTGCGGCTGGAAGACAGCAACCAAACATAACACGGCGGTTATCGCTTCACTCAATATTATGCAAGTTGCTACAAGACGCTGCAGCTCTTCAGTGATATGGCAGAGGCGGATGCCTCGAACACGCAGGTATTGTTGCTGCTACAACGGTTGCGCTCAATTCGTTTCGGTAAATATTAAGATACGGACTTCGACAGAAAATGGTTCTCTTACCCATTTAATTATTCAAATTTATATCGATTACATTTTAACTCCATTTAGTGCTGAAAACATATTCTCTTCCATCGGGAAATGTTTTCTGATATTACGCACAGCTAGTAGCACTGATGCTCATGAGTATCATGCATTGATAAGTAGAATAGCTGTATTAGAGACTAAGGAATATTTGATTCCAATCAACATTGAGCAGAAGAAAAAAGGGGTTATCAGCTAGCGAACAGCATTCACCCAAATATTGAAACTAGGTGTAAGATAAAATTTTTCCTCTTTAAATGATGTACATGACAAAAACAGTTCTAGACCCAGCGAAAAGTTTTAATTAATCTTGCAAAAACGTTCAACACGCGAACGAAAAACGAATCTGATTTGGCACGAAGATAGAACATTTATCGTAACATCCATATTATCATACAATCTCATTTTCATAAATTAAAACCATATTGTACTTCAAATTTTGTTCTGTGCGAAGCATTTATAGTTTATCACTCTTCGAGTAGCTCGTGTACTCTGGCGCAGAACAAGCGAGCCTCTTAAGGAGGCCTCGGGCGTTGGCTCGTATCAGGGAGTTGAGCTCCCGCCTCAGCTGCAAAATAATGCATGGTCGCACGGATGCTGGACAAAAGAAAACATCCCTCTATTCTAGGAGAGGTTTCTCTGGAAGGTTTCCATTCAAAGGTTTCTATGAAAGATTACCATTGAAAGGTTATTATGAAAAGTTTCCATTGGAAAGGAAAGGTTTCCATTGGAAAGGAAAGGTTTCCATTGGAATGGAAAGGTTTCCATTGGAAAGGAAAGGTTTCCATTGGAAAGGAAAGGTTTCCATTGGAATGGAAAGGTTTCCATTTCTATTATATTATTATATAACATGTTTATATTAAAGATTTCTATGACAGGTTTATCCAACAGGTTTCTATGACGGATTTATGTATGAAAGGTTTCTTTGAATGCTTTTTATGACAGGTTTCTATACGACAGGTTTCTGTGCATGGTTTCCATGACAGTTTTCTATGTGACAGGTTTATATACGACAGGTTTCTACATGACAGGTTTCTACATGACAGGTTTCTACATGACAGGTTTCTACATGACAGGTTTCTACATGACAGGTTTCTATATGACAGGTTTCTATACGACAGGCTTCTATACGACAGGTTTCTATATGACATGCTTTCTAAAGGACAGGTTTCTATGTGACAGGTTTCTATACGACAGGTTTATATACGACAGGTTTCTATATTACAGGTTTCTATAAAAGGTATAGATACGTGAAAAAATGGCATACGTATCTATGAAAGGTTCTGAGAAAGATTTCTATATAAGATTTCTCTCTACGAAAGGTTACTATTGAAGATTTCTATAAAAGATTTGTTACAGGTTTCCATGAAGATTTAAATGTAAGGTTGTTATGTTATAAGTTTCTATAAAAAGTCTCCGTTAAAGGTTTCTCATCATTTTGTTGAGCCGCCTGTCTCATAATTTTCCTAAAATATCGATTGGGCGCGGTTCTTACGGATATTTTGGCTAATATTCAATCGTTTTATTCGTCATGTATGCGATTCAATATAATTTGTCTATTTTCCGTTAGGCTTTCTTCCAAATTTAGGCCGATTTGTTTCATCCAAATATTGCTCTCACTGATCATTAGTCTATTACTATCTAGTCTTGAGCCAGATTTTCACTTCATTTCTTCTCTTCAGGTTTCTTTGGTAATTTCCCTAAAGGATATATCCGATATTTTCCATCACTTCAGGCGTTCTTTATTTTTACTCTAGGAAATAACGCACTGACGTCTTGGCAGTTTTCAACATTCCTTATTTTTTTAAGAATTATCGTTACAAGCTAAAGAACTGTCGGAAATTTCGATTACACGTAAATAACTCCCCGTTGAAATGCCTAGCAATTAAAGGATGGACAGGTTATGATTATGAAACATGAGGATATCGAATTTAAAATCATACATATACACGAGTTATAAACGAAGTAACACAGGAATGTTGCTGTCCTTTTATTACATAACAACAAAATAAACATGAGGTGCCACGCCATGCACTGCTTGTCGGGTGCGGAATATTAATAGGACAATTTGTTATAACGACTGCTAAAAAATGCCACCAGCAATTCAGTTTGAAACATCGTCCCATGACTGCAGTCTGTACAGCGCGCACATTGATTTTATAAATAGGTAAAGGAATGTTCTCAGGCCACGTTGTATGTTCGGCGAGTATTTAATTATTACCCAACAAATGAGCGGCATCGATTCAGTAACGACATCAAATATTTAGAAGCCGACCTTCATGGCCCCACTTGGGCTAACGATTGCTCTTCAGATATTGCAATGGCGCTCGTAAATTTAATTATGGATGGCAACTGAAAGTGAATGATGGATGAGTGGGGAGTTGGTAGTCCTGAACATGCCAAAGCAATCAATTTGTGCTGAGAAATTAAATGTTGCAATGAAAAGCTGTGCTCAACTTAGAATTAGAAGTTAAGAAAATAAAAATAAATCAGTGTTTTTGAAAAGCTAGCTTTCAAGCGTTTTTCTTTTCTTCAACATCAGCAATGAGTGAATTTAGAACAGGTTGAAAAATGTTTACATGCTATAGACTATAATTTTTATTTTTTATAATAAAGATAATTTTGGTATTTTTGTGTGTGAACAAAATGGTAATGAAAAAGTATCAAACCTAGGTATATATTTTATGAAGACATAATTTGAGAATTCTTTCCAAAGCCTTTTAAACCTATGTTACGTTTAAAAATATGGCCATTCAGTCAATAAAATAAAAATATTCTCTCGAAAAGCTTTTCCTACTCTCAATCGATTAAAAATATATAGATATATAGAAGCAAATTCATTCCGATTTGTCTATTGTCAGTTTCTAATTTGAACTTTCGGGCTAATATTCCCCGCCCATCATCCCGATTAGAATATTAGGGAGTTTTTGACTCCAAACCAGACCAATAATTCCCAATAACCATAATTACTATGAACGCGAACACCAAAGCCAAATGCAAAAATCACAAGTTCTCAATCAAATGAGAATTCACATCGACGGTAATTGAGTTAGCACTTTATAATCAGTATAATCATACGAGACCGTGGAATGATGACGCAATTAAATACAATCAGATCATGGCATTAGGGAATACCAGTATTATGGTTCGTTACTCGCGTCGTATATGCGCCAACGGCTGAAGGACAATTCAGCAAATAAACAAACTCGAGACAAATTCTGCTGCAAGTCGACAAAGTTAATGTGCAGTGCGAGACAGGCTTTCAGAGGCGCCGTTGTGGCGGACTCTCGGTCACCATCACAGCGCTGGTAACTCATGAAAATTCCAGACCATTTTTCGTAATGCAAAATTGGCGAGGGCTCTCCACAGACTAGAGAGCTTTGAGACAGAAATACTAATATCCAGCATACCTTAGGCTTCCGAGGATTTTATTCATGCAAATGCACGAAATATACTTTAATGAATCATGTCGGAAAAACCGTAATTGCGCTCTACGATTTCAGTTGCATTTTGCGAGTTACAAATCTTTTTATTAATTACAAGACTATTTTCAAGTGTACGTGGCTTACTGGAATGCTGAAGTTCTCATTCGAAAGGAAAAATTAACGATCGTTGAATAAAGTTTTTTTTACAGTCTTAAGTGTTAGTACTGGATGAAGTTAGCGATAGAATTAATTTCCAGCGGCACAAATCAACACTAAAATGTTGCAGCATTTTAAAAATAAATACTTTCCTGGTTTAGTTTTAAACCAAAGACAACATTCTGAATGAATATTAACTTCAATGATTGATTTTTTTCTTGTAAATACTTAGGAAAAAAATCGATTGTGTATCGAACAATTTTGTTCTGAAGCGATTCACTTACATAAATTTAAGATCGTCAACCAGAAACTTTGAGATAAACAATAATAACGAGGCGAATATTACTCGAGAATCGAAACTAATACTTTCTAGGCTCGTGCTCGGGATAGAATACCTCTGGTGAAAATATACCAAGGAATTAAAGCTTCAATTGCGTTGGGGTGAGATAAATATTGGGCATGGGCCAACTGCAAGACTTGAGTGATAAGAATTACTTAGCGCAAGAGAAGAAAACAACAACTCGGCGAAATAAAGAAGCTGGACCAATTGATTTAGAGGACACCAGAGGCGAGTAATGCACTGCAGGCATCGCAGTGTACACTACAATGGCAAATTAATCCTGACTTTCGAAGGCTGCTCCGACTCCAACACTCTAGTTCTACGTTTTTAGCGCATTTTCTCAATTATGAAAAAAATGCACTATTGTGCTCGCCATGTCCGTCTGTCTGTCCGTCCGTCCGTGACTTCACGTTTTCGTCGACGAGAAAAGCGCTCTCTGTCACTCACTGCAGTGAGTACTGAGTTTTATTTTTTTAACGTTTGTCTGTGATGTTCATGGACAATGAAGTGCAATTGATTTAATTTAGAAAGCAATTATTGTGTCGAGCTGCATGTGTTACGAGAATGAACGTGTTTGTTCCAAAAGTAATAAGTACATCCACTCTATCAAATGAAAACAATGAGACGTAACCCATATTTTCTGTATTCCTGATACGACATACCACCAAACCAAAAACGAATCTAAATGAAAAACACATGAAACCAAGGTTCCACCAAAAAACTGAATCTAAATAAAAAAACAATTGAAATTTCAGCAATGAGGCACAAATGTTTGATAACCAATAATTTATTACAAATAAATGGTGGGATTTTATTACAATGATTAGGTCAAAGAATTTAAGCAGTGCATGCGAGCATCTTGATCCGGCAAGTAAAACTGGTAATTTTTACGATAATATGAATACTAGGAATGGGGTAAAATATAATAGATACAAAATGTGATTTCTTTTTTCAAAATGCCAATATGTTTATCAATAGAGAATTCTCAGATGCGTTATTTGTATGATAGAAAGAACTCATTTGAACTATGACAAAATATTAATACTTCGTCACAAACAAAGATTCTTGCTCATGATATTCCTTGAAGTTAAACTGAAAACTGATACAGCTTTGACGAATTCATCTTTGACGATTTTTCAACTGTCCTACCTTCATGTAAATTACTTCCTACAATTCTAGGGTTTCTGTTGCAAACTTTTTCACCGTCGGGAATTGACTCGCACATTTTTACGACTGTCCAAGCATATCTCGGGCATCATAAAGAACTTCATTGACACTCGCTCTGTGCCATAACAGTGTTCAAAAACCCGTTGACTGTAATATATCATCTAGCGTTGTTTTTATATACTCTAGTTACAGAGCCAAAAATGACCAGAAGCCACAATTGCATCATCAATATATGTTTATCGCGATCTCGTCCGAGCATATATCCGTGGGGTAACGAGATGACATTTATGCCAGGTGTCAACAGCAGGCAACAGCAAATGGTAAGAAATATGTTCAGGTATAAAAAAAAAATCCCTCACCTGGCGCTTTCTTTTTGATGGAACGGTCGTCTGCTAAACACGGTGCAGGACCTCGGTAGCTTGCCGACTCTTCTGAGTTTGAGGCGCAAGCTTCGAGAGTACTTGAGTGCTGACACAGCAGTGTCGTGTGTCACTGACAGGAAGCATTCTTTGTTTACCTCCAGCACTTGGTCCCCAACCTGTGTAATGTAAACAAAATAAACATCATCATTAGTTTACGAGTGACCCATTTCTCCAAAATGTGCACGGTGTAGACCATGAAAATATTCAACAAGGCACTAGTTTCCCTGAATTACCCGTTCCCTGATTTGTCTGGTTCATGAGAAAGAAATATTTACAGTGTTTCGGATTGAGATAACGAATCAGTGAAATTGTAAGTAAAAATCAGGCAAAGTAAAATTTTAGGCAATCCAAGATGAAGCAAACCATCAATAGTGAATAGAAAATATCCTTCTTTAATTTTCCTCAACTACAGCGTGTGTATATGTGGAACAAAAATTTACATAGTCATTTGACATATAATGATCAAATAATTAAGAGTCCATTCATGAATTCGAACTTGAAGGTGATTAATCAGAAAATTAATTTTATTAGATTGGCTATTAGAAAAAAGTACTATCAGGTTTCATGAAATGTTTTTAGCCATGCATGATCAAACTCTGTGCTGATGGGAGCAGGATTTAAATCTAGACTTAAGTAGGGTTTAAATTGGTTATATTGTTGTCATACGCCCAGTAAAATTCAATATTCACATGAAAAACTCACGATACAACCACAGCAATTCACACATTTTTGTGGAAAAATTTATTGCGCAACATTAGTTGCAACTCATAAAATTAAATTCAGAGTCTAAATGCAAAAATTCGAAAAGATTAGCAATTCTCCCGGACAATTTAATTTCGTGTAGCATAATGTTCGGAGAGGAAAATAAGATGATGGCCTTACAATGATAATGTAACTACAATATTGAAAAATAATCCTATATCAAACAAGCATGACTGATGGCAATACGATTACTCCATGATTTCAGATCAAGCTTTAGCAGGGATAACATATGTGTATAAAAAGAAAAATATACATACAGCGACAAGAACCATCGTAACATATATGTTTCGGTTAAAATTGTTCTACAGAAAAATTCAGAGGGAACCTTTTGGTGCACCAATATGAAGTCTCGTAACTTTGAATTTTCAAAGAACTCGTAGGAAATTTCGGTTTGAGCTTAAGAACATTTCAGTTTACCCAAGAGTTCTCGTCAGGAGTTCTTTGGAAAAGCTCAATGCGTCAGCGAGCAAGTTAACGTTACTTTATTGGCTTGCAGCTAACTGAACCATGCCCTATCAAAAACTAAAGCTGATATATATACAGCCACTTTCAGCTTTTAACTTTAACTTCAGTTATTCGCGTCTTGATCAGAAGTCCACTACTCTACTGCTAAGGGTTACATATTCTGATGGTGTACAATAATAAAACTCAAGTCAGACATGTGTATCCATTACATATGCTTCACTCCATCGTATCATAAATCTAAAGAGGTCTAAAGAGCGTCAATTATGCATCATAGGTCCCAGAATATATTGCAGCACTGTGGTCATTTTCCTCCATGACTTGAGAGAAAATTGAGAATTTATAATGGGTTGATATTCTCCAAGAATTAATCTACTCAGTAACTTTTAATTGTTAATGATTAATTCTAACATTAGTCTACCTACGTCGCAAGTTCATCAAGAATTGAGAGGCAAAGAAAGCTTCAAGCCAATTCACCACATCTTCATTGAAGATGACGTGGTCTCCGGAACGCTGTCAACAGAGATAAGGTGAATTTACTTGGAGTTTTCTTTGCTTTTAAATTCTTGATTCGTCGAATTCGTGGTTAGATAATTGTTAGCATATTGATTTTCGTAAAAGGTTTTTTAAGTTAATCGTTCGGTCATGCCGAAATGATTGAAGCATTCACAAAGCCGATGATTCAAAATGTAAAGTTGAAACATAGGATTCTACATCAAGTGCAAGTCATTCCCATTTTCTAGCTGCAGTGAAGCCGGAACAATCTCACCAAGTTAAGCTTGAGTACTGCAACTGATCGGGCTCCTCCAGCGCGTTATTTTATCCGAGACTTTAATGCACTTCACTAACTCATTTGCAACTTCGTAATTGACATGACAGAACTCAGCCTGCATTCGCAAGGCAGGGAAACTTTGAAATATATTGTTATCAATGTTATTATATAAGGCTTAAAATTATGTAGAAGTTACGAAGTTTGCTGAATATGTGAATAAATTTTTGAATATGAATATGTGAATAAATATGTGAATTTTGTGAAAAAAAAATAAAAGCAGAAATTGCTGCTAGGGAAATTTCGATTGATTCAATTTGCGCTCGTGACTAATGGTCATAATTTTTGTAGAAAATCTGCAGATTAAATTAGACGTGCAGTAAAAACTAAATTAACGTAGGTTTACTCCCAAATCACAAAAAGCTAATAAACGCAAAATGAAATTACAAAACTGTGCAAAAAAACAAAGGTTATTACGATCAATTTTATTAATAACTACCAACGAATCGTCTACATACGAAATTATGAATTGAAAAAATTAATTACTAACTGCAAAATCAACCACTTGACTGCAACCACGAAAGATTAAATTTTCTTTCGAATAAGCGTGATTTCAAATGATATTTGATGCTTGCATGTTATCTTTATCGTAAATTTTGATACTGCAGAATATTTACAATTATTTCAAATTCTCACCTATTTTGCACTGGAAAATAATTACAAACAGGAGAAAAAATAGTGAACTGGACCGAAATTAAATCTAGTATTTTGTGCATAGACCCCGATCCAATTACAGCAAGTATTCAGAAGCGGCAACTGCGTTCTCGAAACGAATGAATTTGCGGTTTGACTGCAATTCGGAGACGCGCAAGCCCTGCACGACAAACCCCGCCGAGCAGAGAGATCACAGACCGAGTCCGTCAATCACACGGGCAGCGGTTCGGCCCGGTAATCTGCACTCCCATCAATTTCACAGCTGCCACAACCACAGCAGTGTTGAGAAACGCACACGATCGACGAATAAATCATGATAGTAAATCGGGAAAAGAATGAATATCTGTTTAGAGTGAAGATATCTAGGCCCCAGACGGAAACAGTCGTCTTTGACAGTCAATTTGAGTAACATTTTCACTTTTTTAAACACAAAATGGCTTTGGTTTTCTTAATGAACGTTCCAATTCAACGTTGTAGAAAATTTTGTTGTGTACACAGGTACAAACTTTTCTTAACATGCTGGCCTTGCTAGAAATTGTACAAAATCATACGGGCCAGACCAAAATAAAACACGGGCCAATTTGCTGAAGATGACCCTTAGGCAACTCCGGCTTGTGTTTCTACAGAAAATATGCATGAGCTGCTGCCGCTGATAAATAGTTTTATCGTGAATCTTGTATTCCTGAAAAGTTTTTATTTTTATCTTGTACACTACCACCACTTCTCTGAAACTTCACAACAAGTGGTGTCGAAGAAGTGCGATGGGCAAACAAGACGAACTTTGAGTCGTGGGTGTAACTGTGGGAAATGAGACATCGTGAAAATAGAGTTGCACTTTTCACCCTTATAAGGATCATCCTGACCAAGTTTAGCAGGCAAAAACTTTTGTCAGTGCTACGTCCGCTCTCTGCTCACACTGTGGGTAAGAAATATCGTCACTATTTGTAATTCATTTTTCTTACTGAAGGTTTAGGACAAATTTTGCTCTAGGGGATTAGGGTTTCATCAAAATATGTTCGCTTAGAATTAGCGGGCCGTTGCTTGCGGATTGTGGTTTTACAAGGAGTGTATCCAATTATTTTTGACGTAATGTTCACAAATGGGCAGAAATAATCGAACAGCGTCAGTTCTATCTGAAGTTCAATCAAGCGTTCAAACATGTCGAGATAAATTTTGTTCACGCAACAGCCTGCGGATCTAGACGTCGGCAGCAAGAAGCATCTTCTCTAAATAAGACGTTTAGGCACGAGCGAGACAGGTTCACGGCAGCTGGGGGTTAGTGCTGCTTTTAATGAGTCCACAGCGCTGGTCTGCTAGTCAGACGCCGCATGTGGGCCTTTACAAATCCCTAATGAAGCCAGACTGTCTGCTCCCGAGAGCCGTCCATTTCCATGGCACCAGACTAGCCATGAAGAATTCTCATTGTCCTTGGAAAAACAGAATAAGGAATATTTTAAAATGAAAACAAGAAGGGATATTTTAAGACGAGCTCAACTGGCCTAAGAGAAATTATTTTATGCAACAAGGTATTTTACTCAAGCGGCTGAATTGCACATCAACGCAAGGTAACGTAAACATGTCCACACGTTGAGCGATTGCCAGAAAATAAATTTCTAGTAATATCAACAATATAATACAAATAATTCAGGTCTAAACAAAAATCTGTAAAATGCATACGGAATGATTCCTAAAGTAGATCAGGCCCAATGTTGCCAAAAACTTCGCCATCTTATTTGGATTCTCAACAAAAACTTGGTCAGCTGACTCATCATTGAATGCTTTGATTCGTACTTCTTGATGCTGAATTGAACTGCACGCAGCTCTTGCAGGATCAGACAGAAATGTTCAATACCAACTTGAAGCCTCAATACAGACGAAACTAATGTGCAGAATTTTACATGTATCAAAAGATCAATCAAAATAGGAGTAAAAAAGAAATGAATGGATGAATTGTCATTGCAGATTTTTGAAAAGATAAAACAATATAATTTCCTTACATGAATTATACTTCAGTCATTTTTCTCGTAAGGAATGTTATGGTTTGAATGAGAATTGGCGAAACGGCATGCGAGAAATAACAATTTTATGAAAATTCTCCGGCCATAGCCTTTAATTCTCTCAAGCCCTAAAACGTAATCCGGTTAATCTACTTAGGAGAATTTCTAGATCCCTCACTTCCGCTTCGTTGAAGTGCCAATTAACGGCCTAGTTTTGGTTTTGAAAAAGAGCCGAGCTAGCGAATTCAACTGAACTGAACGAACTAGACGGAGCGGAGCAATCAAATTAACTGAATTGAACAAACTAGACGGAACGGAGCAATCAAATTAACTGAATTGAACAAACTAGAAGGAGCGGAGCAATCAAATTAACTGAATTGAACAAACTAGACGGAGCGGAGCAATCAAATTAACTGAACTGAACAAACTAGACGGAACGGAGCAAACGAATTAACTGAACTAAACAAAATAAACAAAGCCGAGAAAGCGAATTAAATGTACTTAACATATAAAAAAGAAAAGCAACAGGATTCACTATGCTACTGTCATCGAGTATTGCATTATTTAGAACGATGATGAGCAGATTGGTATAATACTGTCATGACGAATGTAGCATAATGGATGCCTCAAGTTAATATTGTGATACATAGTGAAACCAATTCTTTGAGTCAGGTGTACGCAAGGTCTAAATTTAGGAGATAAATTCAGAATTTTAAAGCAGGCTTCTGAAGTAACTTAAGAACGGTTTGCTCCGTGAATGTAGCAAAAGCCTCTCTCATCGGCGTAAACTTTAGGCTCTCAATAAAGCCGAAGCACCTCTATAAACTTCCGTAAGCCGACCTCGATGATCTTCGGAAAAACAAAAAAGCCCTAGTAAAAGTAGGTCTCATTATCTCTGGCCTTGTTAGCACCTTTACGGGAATGGAGCTCGGATTTAGGGGCAGTTTATAACATATACGGTTGACTCCGGGAAGTTGTTACAAGTCTTGGCGAAAAAAACAAATCTTGGTTAAAAATGCCAGTGATTTAAAAACCACGGATGACTGCTTATCTAAGGTCGATTGATGATTTTTTTCGAGACGTATAATATCTTTTTGTTCCTTGAAGAAGAGTTCACACGGAAAGAAACATAAGAAAAAACTAATTGCAAGAAAATATTTGCGTACAAAATATTTTAGTAATGCTTAGGCAGCCAAAAAAAAGTGTACACAAAATAACAACTAATAGGGAAAATTTCCATATTTCCATTATCATGAATCGAGAACTTGATCTATAAATGTTAGTTAGTTTGTTGTCGTAGAACACACATTCAACCTCTCTGAATATTTTATATTTTTAATAATTTAATCATGCGCCAGCTTTTCACCTGCTGCGTTCGTTCATTTGTTGGTTAATCAAAAATTCATTTCAGATGACCGAATTTCCTCGATAAGAATTTTTCTGAGGAGCAAAATTAAATTAATATGATAATAATCGAGGTGTTAACGAGTAATGAGTAACAATTGGGAAATTTTTAGAATAACATTTGTGAGCGAGTATTATTGTTTGCGAAAATTAACTATATAGCATTAGAATCAGCATCATCTACAGGCGTTTACTGGAAACAAATTACCTAAATGACATTCTCCATGCTTATTTTTAAACCTTTGAAAGAATCTATGCAATTGTCAATCGAGTAATTCTACGAAGTGATCCATTAAATATGCTCGACTATCATAATAATTCGTTTCATAACAAACACTCGTGAATGCAAGCCATTCATATAAGATTGAATGTTCATGTTATATGTTGCGACGAAAACCGTTCCTACCAGACATTTTCGGCTGATTGAATCAACCCAGAATTGGATCGCGTCGCTCTTGTATTTCCCCCCTCACTTTGCCAACCATCCTGCATCTGTTGCCATCACCGTGTCGCGTCTCGTATTAATAAAGCAGTCAGCGGCTGCTCTCTGCCGGTTCGCACAATACAATTAATGAGCCTTACCTCGTTACGCTCACATACAAGGGTATAAATTGAGCCAATATTGCGGAGTTTCGCTCCCAATTCAGAGGCTAATTAGCAACAAATCGAAGCAATCGCCAGCTCAGGCTAATTTAGAACCTCATCAACATAATATCTTCACCGACTTAACAACTAAGAAACAGAATCCTGCTCGTCTAGACTTAAAGAATAAAGATAACCTCGAATTTTCTTTCAATATCGTGTGAAAACAGTTTCAAAAACCATTCAATGAATGGCAATTCTTCGTAATTAGAAAATTCATAGACAAATCTCGATACTTGATTAAAATATTGACTAAAACAACATATTTGCATTTGTAGGACAGAACGCTGCCAAATTATTATACAGCAAGTCCGTAAAAAATATCGTAATCCTCTTATGAAGAAATCGGAATTGAATCAAGTAATGACTGTCGGACAGCAAAAAATTTTTGGATGTATCTGAGCAAAATTTTGGAGATGCTGGCTAGAGGATAAGCTGCATTTTCTACCCAAAGTTCTTAGAGTTGCCAGATCTGAACATGAATCCCGCCGTCAAAAAGTTGCAAGCCTCTGCGATGATGTCTGGTGCCTGAGCGTCGAGTTGACCGAAATATTTCGACCCACAATCGTCAACGTCTAGAAAAAAAGTCTGTGCGTGGTTCAAATATTATCGTGAAAAGTTACTGGCTGAAAAGTTGCCGTAGACAGATCGTCAGAGATGAAAACTGCAAGTATTTGGCGCCTGCATGCAAATGTCGCGAAAAATGCAAAAGACGCAACAAAGCGGGGAAAGACGCATGTTTGAGTTGAAATTCAAACAGAATACGATGATTGTTTCATAAATAAAATAATATCAATTTATTCAAGACTAATGAATATCACTCAATGAACGTGGCGCGCGTGTGAGATGGAGGAACTCGTACCTTGATGCCGCAACTTCGCACCAAATGTACGTGATCATGACATCATGAACGTGGAGTGAGATGGAGGAGGCTGTACCTTGATGCCACAACATTGTACAAAATGTGATCATAACATCATGAATGTGGAGTGAGATGGAGGAACCTGTACCTTGATGCGACAACTTCGCACCAAATGTACGTGATAATTACATCATAAACGTGTAGTGAGATGAAGGAGGCTGTACCTTGATGCCGCATCTGTCGGCGGCAGACCCGACGTCGACGCCGGTAATGTAGATACCGAGGCCGTACTCCACGCCGCCTCTGATCATAAGCCCAAGAGACTCGTCTGGGGCCACCGAGCACATAACCTGCCAGCATAAAGTGATGATCATTTAATTTATATCCAATAAGTAACCTGCTAACATATTCTCACATATACTCAGAGGAACCATTAACCGGGGAAGATCGTGATAACACAAATGAGCCATTAGTCTGTAGAAATTATATCATCCTGAAAATTATATCAATATATATCATATGAAAATATTAACCAGTGGAAATTACACTAACAAAAACGAGCCATTAGAATGTGAAAATTATACGGTCACAATTGAGTCCTTAACCATTGGAGATTACTAGACACAAACGAGCCATTAGTCTCTGAAGTTTATATCATCAAGTCAGAACAATTAGCCTGTGAATATAATAACGGTACAAACAAACCATCAGCCTGTACGATCATATTGCCACATATGAACTGTTAACCTGTGAAAATTATACAATCACAAACGACCCATTAACCTTCAAAGATTGCATTGCCACAAACGACCCATTAAGCTGTAAAGATTATGCAGCCACTATTGTACCACGGTCACAAGACTAAACTAAAGATTATACAGCCAATAATTAGTGAAAGTTATTTTGATTATTTCTTCAAACCCAAACATCGTAATTATTTCCACATGTATGAACTAATGCAAAAATAAATCCTCAGAAATTTTTTTATTCGATAAACCACAGCATGCATCATATTTTTTTCATCTCCAATAAACTTTACTTGATTAGATTCGTATTTACAAAAGATGCAACAGCCGTTGAGTATTCAACGATTACTGAAGCCAGTTAAACAATACTTCAAAAGTTAACCTAATTTTTTATAGTATCATTTATATTCATTTGTAGGCAGAGAAGTTCAAAACAACATTCTTCATAGTTAGTTCATAAAAATGTAAATAACAAAAAATACATAAAACGTGAAATTTAATTTTCTTTTTTTCTTCTTCAAAATCTCTCGTTTTAATTCTAAAATAAAAAGTACTACCCGTAATTTTTTACACACGTGGAACCATATGACGCTCTATCAATTCAAATAGAAAAATACTTGTCAGGAATAAATACCAGTTGTCAGGAAATAAATTTAAGCGCCGCGGCCTGGCGCCGTAGAAAATGCATTTACAAGTAGCGGCTCTGGTCGTCGAAATTTGTGGTGCTAGACTGGGAGGAGAATCAAGTATGTATTAGCAGAATGAGGTACATCTTTACAAAATAAAGAAAAACTTCTCTTCTTTATACTACTTAATATCTTTCAATTTTTCAACGAGTTCAATAACAACAAACTCAAATTTTTAAATAATAAAGAACCGCACAATTACATCAATCACAATTTCTAGGATAACGAAGTGAAAAATTTCATGATTCGACATAAGATTTAACGAAGAAGTTGTGCCGCGACGAAGCTACACATTGAGACGAGTATGGATCAATACAGCGTGGTATTCTCGAATAGACAGGAAGGTGCTGGTAAACCTGAATTTTCTTGCTTTTCGTCCATAAAGATGTCGCCAATGAGAACGAAAAATTAGCGTTGAAAGCAATAAAAATAAAATACTCAAGGTTTACTAGAGTGATACCAGGGCCTTAAATTCGACAAAATTTGAAGGTGTGCGATAGTAGATTTAAAGTAAATTTTTGCCGATAGTGTTTGATGTACTCAAAAAGAAGATTACTTGAGTTTGAATGCAATTTTCATATTTATTTCATATTTATTGAACGATTTTCTTCAAAAATCGACAGTAGGAAATCCGACTATCCGAACCTCCACAATGACGATTTAATTTAATGATTCTAATTTAACCTTATTTTGTCATTTAAGGCGAATTGTAAATCCAATGGACCCATACTTCGATAAATGACAAATGTATAAAACCAAACCTCTTTGAGGAAGTAAGGATCATTACGCATCATTAGAAACAAAGTTCAACTCTGTCTTGCAGCTGCACGAGACCAAACACTGCATTACGAAGCAAACACCCCAGCAAACAGTCACTGAGATGACTGTTGAACGGTAAGCAGAGCGGCTAGGAACTGTTGGCTAATACAGAATTACGACCCCACTGAACCCTTCACTTCGAAAACCATCATCAGAGTAACTTAGTATCGTAGCAACTTAGTATAAAAATATAAAATTACAAACATTTTTCAGTATGGTTCATTGAAAATCATTGTCTTGAAGTTGTCATCACAGAAATAATTGCAAAAAGCGCAATTGGTTTCTAATTTTATGGGGTTACAATCAGGCTACAAGGTTCGCTGGTCGGTGAGCAGAGAAGCATACAGTCGTCATGGACTCGAAATATAATAGCTAATAGAAGAAGCTTTAATAAAAACAAGAAGCAATGTCTAATCAAAAAAATATGTAATAAAGATTAATATAATCCAATTTAATAATGTAGGTTCTTAGGCTTTGCAGTGTATCTTTGGATTTAATCATGAAATGAATAGGACTGTGTGGTTGACATGCGAGGTGACGAGCCTTGAAGACAACTGGACCTAAAAGAATTAAAGCAAGCGTGCCAGGCAGCACGCCACGTGTCGTGACAGCGAGGAGTTAGAAACTCCAGTGAACGAACGCTCGCTCCGGCGTATGGTCTATAAATACAGCGCAAGCTTTGCGCTCGGTGTACAGAGTAATTTAAAGGAGGCAGTGTAAACGACGCTATGAGAAAGCTACCTAATTGAGATAAGTTGAGCCAATTTGATTTTAATAAGAATGAACTTCTTGATAAGAAGCTAACCAGTCAGCATAATGAGTAAAAAGAACAAGTTGGTGACATTCGCACACAGATCTGTTGCTTCGCCCTAGAAAAAGCAGCTAAGTTAATCTGGCAGATAAAATAAAAAAGGAATATTACCGATGTGGTTTTCCTATAGCATACCAGCGTTCATGCAGTTTTTCATATATATGGACGAACATGGATTAGTCCTTGTCTCCGATATATGGGCGAATATGGACTCCACTTTCTTGGGCAAACCTAATTTGTAGGCAACTAAACGATACTGCTTCCATGTTCAACTCTGACCTCATTGTACCTTGTGTGGTCTGCATGCGAATTGAGAAGATTTTCGGGCATATAGAATATTCATTGCAATTTCATCGAGTTCATTATTAATAGAGAGTAAGAAAAGATGATGTCCCCGCGAAGAACCCCTTAATATCAAGTGCCGATCCGCACGCAGTCAAACATTACGGATTGGAATATTGACCGCAAATGTAGACTATACGCGGTCCACTTTTAGCTGTAAGTGCCTATGAAGACGTACTAATATCAATTTAATAGCGTTAGCACAAGAAGTGTCATAAATACTAAAAGAACTATATATACAAACTCAGAAAGTCGGCACAACGCAAAGTAGTACGGTATAGAAGTTGCAATAAAGTGTCAGCATACGGTATGCACGAACACGCAGCGCATTAAAGACGGCGCCGCATTAAGACGGTGGGTCCAACAGCTGGCACACAAGCTGCATACACACGCGCCGCATTAAGACGGTGGGAGCGGCGCATTAAGACGGTGGGCCAACAGCTGGCGCATAAGCTGCATACACACGCGGCGCATTAAGACGGTGGGTCCATCAGCTGGCACACAAGCTAGGCGCACATGGCGCTCGGATCAATGCCTGCAATCGAGCAGTCAAGTTCTCGCTTTAAGCTACACTTCTGACTCATTAGGCGCTGCCGCCTGTAGTACAACCCACAAAAAGCATTGGCGAACTCTTGTTGCTAACCAACTAATAAGTTTATACAAGTTATTTCATTCGAAAATGAATTTGCAAGATTAGATCTATGTAGATTTTGTAGCTGTGTTGAGTTTACAATGATAATAAGGACTAAATGCATGAAAATGACTTAATTTCCTTGCATGTGCTGCGTACAACTAGGCAAACAATTTCATTACAATTAGAGGCATAGACAACAGCGATCGTATAATCGGTATTTTTATTGCTCTTAGATTATTGTATGTGACAAATTTATTAAAAATTATTTTTTATATAGCAAATAAGGAACCGTAAAAATGTATTTTAAAAATCAAAAATAAAAATCTAAGCAAATTGTATTTAAGAAATGACAGAAATTCGGGGTCAACTCGGTCAACTTAAATAAACAATATCTGTTCGAATCGTACCTTATTGAAAATCAACTGTGCTTAAAAAATTTTAAATTTAAATGGATTTTCCATCAACCGAATTTGCAAACAAAACTACGACAATAATTGGCCTGACCTATATTAAAAAAGAGCTTATTGTGAACCACATCGTTTCTACGTTTCACAAGAGATAATTGTCATTGGCTTAGTGTAGTCTACAGGCATTTTCTCTGCAGTAGAAGATAGCAACTCTATTGCAAGAAGCGCACTGCAATTCTAAAGGCGACTCCCAAACCATTGTGTCTTTCACAAACGCTTCCTCTAAGTCAAGCGTGACAAAAGCATCCTAACTTTACGAACAAAGGGACGGAGCTTTAGAACGCCCATAGCGCAGCCACAGCCCAGTCGATGACTTCCAGTAACAATAAATTTTGAGGACTCAAGGCAGACGTCTTTGTAATACAATTTATTGATGAGAAACGAAAAATGCTTTACAAGGTTGCTTCCTTTTTGGATCTCTAGGAAAACATCCACGCTGTCTTGCACGAGACTGCATGGTCGTCAATACCAAGAAAATTTCTAATTTTCCTTTCAAGAAATTTTCCGTTTGAAAGCGCAAAACGAGTCCAACATTTTCAAATTGTTAGTACAACCGAGCTTATTGAACATTTCTAACCTTAATGTTCGGCTGATCATGTGTAAAGCACACAATGTTAATACAAACATTGAGTAAAATTTGTTGCACAACGTTGAAAATTTGAAAAGTAAAACCCATGAAGTTACTCAGAGGCATTTTATGCTGTCGGTAAATTAAGGGGAAGTATTTACAGCGATGCAGTTGAGGCACGGAAGACGGCTATCCGAGGCTTGATATCGATTCGGGCAACGAAAGCCTCCTGTCATAAAATGTGGATAATCATTATGACCAAATTTGCAACAAATGA